TTATATGGATTAGAAACTGAAACAAAAGGCGGATTGGTTCAGCACTAACAAAGCAGACCAAGTGTCTTGCTCTGAGGCTTCTCAGTTACTCATCACACTCAGATGTGTCCAGTAGGTAGCACTGTGCCAGTCTACTAGTAACACAAATTACAGTAGTTCCCCTCCCCCCGGCAGTGTTCTCACTGGTACGAGAGAAAATGTTCACAAGATAGGGATTTCAAGCCTTGCAACTAATATTAGAAATGACCTAAAAACATGGGGACATTTCCATAGAAATCATCAGCGATAACTACTAAGCTTCTCTACCTCTGACCTTCTTCTTTTGTTTTTTGTTACTGTTTGTTCTCTATGCGAGTCTTCTTCCAAATCATTGTTGTGCAGCTTCTTTTCTTTACTGATGTTTTATATTGGCTCGTGCATTATCTGTTGCTTCAAAGAAAACTCTTAATTTTACTGGTGGCAGAGGTGCTACCAATCCTGTCCCTGCTCCAGCAAAGGACTCTGTATGAAAAGCAAGAGACACTGGAAACACAAGCAGAAAAGGGAAACACACAGAACCATACATCTTAGAAACGAGTTTTGGGGAAAGAAGGTGGGAACACGTGGAGCAGTTTGGGGAGCCACAGAGGGTAAAACAACATCAATATTCATCTTTTAGCAGCACTCATACTGCCCTAAGAACATATCCAACCTTGGAAACAAAAGACAGCCTCTAACGCAGTGGTTCCCAAACTGGGGTTCATGAACCCTCGGGGGTTCACGAAATGTTACAGGGGGTTCTCGGGGAAAAATCCCCTAATGGCAGACAGAGCTGTCCTTAGGGGCCCTGGGCAGCACGGGACCAGCAGCCCGGAGCCCCTGGACTTCCAAGAGCTAAGCAGATCAAAGCAAGCATATCTATCACACTGAGGAGATTTAAACTTCAAGACTCCTTATAAGAAATGGAAAGGGAGGTGGATATTTTTTGCTGTTTTTAAAATTAAATAGGCAGCTAGTATTGTTTTTAAAATTATTATGAAGAACAAGTTTAAGCTTTGTTGTAACGTGTGTTGTTTGCTTGAACTGCTTAAGACCTGAATGCTTGTATAAGAGGAACTCTTTGAGTTGGCTTCTTAGATACCTTCATGCTGTTTCACATCTGATACCTCTTGATGAAACATAGGAGCCTTGTCTTAAAACAGGCTTATTCAAAGTGATACAAGCTACCAAAGTGAGATCTTGGAAGAGTGTTGCCGTTTTCATAATGTAATAAAAATACTGTAATGATAAATAATAATTAATAATAAATTGTGTGTAATAAGCATGTCACAAAAACAAATTTTATATTTCCAAGATCACTGCTTTTATAATTTATACTCAGGTAAAGGAGAAAATCCCTGGAAATATTCTTTTTTAGGAGGGGGTTCACGAGACTTGACATTTTGGTGAAAGGGGTTCACAGGTTGTTAAAGTTTGGGAACCACTACTCTAGGGAAAGGAACAGGCACAGCAGTGTCTGGGGTTATAAGCACAAAAGCAAGTTGTTCATTTCACTGACTGTCATGAGGAAACTTTGTGAGTGAGGAGGGCAGAAGGGAAAGAATTTGGTCTTCCCTGGGTATTTCACAAGGAGAATATTCTGCCTAGTGATCAGTAGAAGAGGGAGATCTGTAGACTTCAGAATTATGGAGATTCAACAGAGGAAAAAGCAAATCTCTATAGCAAAAATATATATGGGCAAGTGTTACATACATGTATCTAAAGTTGGGAGCGCTTACAAGCCAAGGCAGTGATACAATAATGACTGTATATAGCAACTCTCAGGGAATTGATAACACTATGGCAATTCCTTTACAAGTGATGCTTTCTAATAATTATAGGCCAGATTCTGATACGTGTAATTCCAGCTTAGTAGTACCCTACTTTATGAGTAAGGGCTGATTTCAAATGGGATGCTTCATAGAGGAAGGAACTATTGACTCAGACTATTAGAATCTAGCCCTACATAAATAACTTCTGGCACAGTGTAATAGCATTTAAACTACCAGCGGAGTGGTTCACGTTCCCAGCATTGGTCAGGCCCTTCAGTCAATGATACCTGCAAAAATTCCCAGTATTTTACCCAGCAACGGGAGAGGGGAGATTTTTGCTCTAATTTCACAAGTTGTGCAACAACTTGTACTGTCACAATGCGAGTACAACACTTAATCCAATAAAACATGCCAGGAATGTTTAAAATCCAGGCCTTTGGGATTTCCTCTTCTATAAATGCACCGCAGTTAGAACCAAAAATAGCTCTGAGATATGAAATACTGAACCCACTGGAGCTACACACTGGTGAATCATTCTCCCCTATCCCCCATTTTAGGTGGGAGATCACCACAGGTGAATGGAGAGGTATGGCGTGCATGGAGCCTAGCAATGGGAACAGATGGAAGGTACAAGAGAGTAGAATTATACCTTACGAAAAGAGAATCTCAGCATTTGCTCATCCAGAACATAAATTGGGAACAGTCTATTGGAGACATGAGGTTTCTGTCATTTAATGCAATGCCTTCTCTTTATTCTTGGAAAAAACCCTGCCGTTTCTATTTAAAAGGCAAAGGATATCAAAATACTATTTCTTTTCTGGCTTTCTATTGCCTGCCACTAGATAACCATCTAGAAAAGTTGAGGGAAGAGAAACAGGATAAGGGGATAGCAAAAGCATTGGCAGGTACTCATACAAAGATGAATCCTGCTTGCACAGACACTTTGAAAACTCTTTTTCTTTGGTTTCTCAGCAAATGCAGTAGCCATATGACTGGCAACAGCTTTAAAAACAAACCCCAAACCATCAATCCACAATCACTGCAAAATTGTCAAGTGTTGGAAATACATCCTTTCTGCTTTTCTTTAGAGAAAATCCACTTAAACCTTTATGCTTGTTAATAGCTTATGAGAAGCCGGAGATCTGCAACAGTTACAGCTACATAGCATGCAAATCTCATTCGGACACTGTCATTGTCAATCCTGCCTCCTGTGCGGGAAGCATGTCAAAGGGAAACAAAACAGAGAGTGTGCTGCAGCACTTGACACCACCTCCTCCCCCTGCTTGCAGGGCTGAGTTAGTTCAGAGCCTTCCTGGCTGAATGGTATTCTCTTTTCGAACAGCCCCCCATCACCACCACCCAATGCTTGGGGAAAGCTTTGATGTCTTCAGGGGAGAAAAGCAAACCCTCTTTATCTGTCGCTCTGAACGATTGCTAAGGCATTGCCTTTGTGAAACACTCCAAAGAAACAGTCTGCCATCAGCCCATTGTAAATGCATGCACGTTACATGCAGAAATACCTTGTAAAATATACGGATATGCATCGGTGCAGGATGAATGGAATAAAAGGAAGCAGCTCACAGAGAATATCCCTTGAGGGGCTGCCATAGCTAGTTTCAAAAAGGACTGTTCCTGCCAACATTCTGTGGGATTTCTCCAGCACAGGCTTCAGCTGGCTGACTGCGCTATAATCTCAGTCGGAGACAGACGATAGCCTTAGAAGAAGCATAAGGCTTAAAAGGGCAAGAGAGCCAGCGTTCCCATCTTTTCAGGAAGCTTTGGGGATAAGCTGGGATAGACATCAGGAGATATTTCTGCCCCCAGCAGTGTGTGTGAGAATGTGAGTTGGAAAACAGACCGCAGTCCTACTCAGATGCTTTCTATCAGCTTATCTGAGGCTTTAAAAGGGCACCCTCTCTGTATTTCATAGTGCCTCTTAGTACGAGGCCAACTCGGTGGACTTGCATTAGTTTATCATGTCCTGAATTCTTGGTATCAGAGCGTCACACTAGTGCCAGTGGAAGTTACCTACACTCAGTGATTTCTGATGCATAAGGCACTGCAGCATGCGTGGAACAGACAATTGCACAGTAGTGCTTGATAGAGAGAATATCACTGTCACACACGCACACACCCTTCCTTATACCTCTGGCAACACATGAGAGAATGGAGAGTCTGTAGTAAGCAAAGCATCATTTCCAACCACAGTCCCCCACGACCACCCCCAAATGCCAATATGGTGCTGCCATCGTTTTACGTCACCCCATCCTTCCATTCCCTGCTCATGATCCACCATGGGAAAATTCAGATGGAGTTACTGAAGATAGGCACTCCAACAAAACACTTTCCCATGCAGAGATCTGGATGGGGCTACTTTGAAACAAGAGGAACTCCCTTTCTCTTCTGCCTTGCCAATCAAGTCACTTCATTTTTACATGGGTAACAGCATTCATGATCCACATCCCTGACCGTGCTCCCTCAATCAGCCTCCAAACCCCTCACTTTCATGCGCCTGGCAGAGAAACACCCACTAGCTGGCTTTTACCAGCTGCTTTATCTATTAAAATGATGACGTAGAGATGCACGCACGTACATGCCATCATGTGTGCTCCAGTGACGCGTGAGTATTGGGTAAATCCAGGCCACAGAATAAAAACCTCAGATAACCCAAACTAGACGAGGCAGGCATTGCATTCTACCCATAGCTCAGAGACATTCACACAAGGACCCACAACTGCTGGGGAAGAAAAATCACCTGCAGACTCCTGATACAGGGCTTAATGCTGCAAGGTGCTGATCTAAAAGAACATTTAACCATACGCTTAACTTTAGCCATGTGAATAATCCCTCTGACTTCAATGAGTCTATTCATGTAGTTAAAGTTAACCATTGTATTCAGGTAGTCAAAGGCATACATACAAGTGACCTTTTGTTCAGTATGTTTTGCCCTATATCGGTGTTGCGACCTACCTGTGTAGAACACAGGGAAACGGGAGGGTAAGGAGGATACCTAGATTACCTTGATCCTGATTTACCACAACCAAAGAAAGATTGGCCTAGACATTGCTTACATCCAACTTTCAGTGCTCACAAATTGGAGGAAACAATATAAAAAAACAAAACTTTCAATACCCAGCGTTTTCCCCCCACCTCTTACTAAAAAAAGGGGAAACAAAGGCAAACAGCTCTCAGTCTCAGATGCGTACTCACCCAGAAGAGAAGGTTGAAGACAAACATTAGGTACTTGATGCACTGCAGGCAGTTGTGAGCCATGCTGCACCTCTTCAGCTCTAGGAGAAAAATAAACGAGAGATCCAGGTAAAAGACAACGTACTTGTTCCCCTTGGGGGATGTGTACTTAGCCTTGGTGGCTTTAGGGCCCGGGTTGGTGTGGAATCCAAAAAATGAGTTGCTGGCGGCCCCAAACTGGCCGCCATACATGCTGCTGTAGCGACGGAAGGCGCCATTTGGAAAACTGTAATCCTTGCTGTCCAAAGAAGGACTCCTGTGATAGGTCGATTCATCGGTGCTAGACCTGCGCATGGTGACTTCCGATTGTTCCACAGTTACTACTGATGTGATAGTTGTTGGATGTTGGCGGTGGGGGGCAATACGTTTATTTATTTTTTCCTCTCTCCTTATCCCCCTATTGCTTTGCACCAGCTGTTCTTTGGTCTGCCATTCTGTCAAGGAGTTAAGTGTGCTGTAAAGCAGAGGTTGGCAAACTGGAGTCTGCTCAGCCAGGAGTTAGGGAACAGCGTGCTTCCGTGTGAGAGAGACTTCTGAACAAGTAAACATTCCCTTTGGTTTCACGCTTTCCCCCCCCCAGCCCGCCCTACTACCAAAAAGCAAATGAAGAGACAGAGATATACTGTACCCAAAGCAATTAATTTTAAAAAAAGGAAGTATGATCTCGCTTTTGTCGCAAATGCCATATAAAACCCTGGCTCCACATGCTAAAAACACACAAGAGGGAAGGTGCACAGACTTGTGGGCAAGAACAGAAATTATCCAAAAGGCAAGCAGCTCCCATGCCCCATTCCTCTTTGCCACTTTGCTCTGCCCTGAGATGCTCAGCTCACTTTAAAGATCCCTGTTTCTCCTCACACAGACAGAGCCTATGGTAAGTGAGCCACGGAGCTTCATTCACAGTGCTGCTGACACTCCTCTGAGACTCCAGTCCAATCATGCTCTCTGCTAGTATACAGTCACAGCTCTGTGGTCCATCCCTGCATCTGAAGCGAGAGGCAGAGAGAATGAGCGTTCTTACTGTATCTCATGAATGCCTGCTCAGCATTCTCTCCGGCTCCTGCCCTCCCCCAGCCAATCAAAATTACCTTCAGACAACATTACTCCGCACCACCACTACCTTGTTTAAAATAAAAACCTCCCCTTGGTTTCTTCTCAGCAAATCCAACATAAGCTGCTTTTAACCAATCACTGCACAGGTGGAGGGACTACAGTATGTATCTTAGATTTAACCAGGTCCATTCCCCTGGGTAATTCTATTCTCTATCAGTCCTGTGTACATCAAAGCTTGGAGCAGGTTTTAATCATCCTAGCTGCTAGTGGCTCCTCAGATTTGTAGTTCTCAGCAAAGAGCAACTGAATTTAGATTTGGTCTGAAATGCAATTGGTCCTGCAAGGATTGGTATGCATACATTACACATCCAGATTCACAGGCACACATATAGAATGTGCTGCATATGGCATACACATAGAGAGTGCTATAGATGACAGCAAATGTATTTATTAATCCACTTATGACTATTTATCAGATTTTAGACCCAAAAAATCATGAAAGTCCCATGGATATATATTTGTTTTTGCAGGAGATGCTCTTAAAACTCACTTGCCTGAAGACTGGTCTGACCTATCTATTATGTTTACTCAGTGTGGGGACTACTCTTTTTACTTTTTTTCAAATCAGTATCATCTGACTTGTCACTCAGTTTAAGGCTATTTCATTACATTTGCTTCTCTACCTACCTATCTGTTTTTCCATACCCAATCTATTGGGTTGGCGTCACGCTCTGTGTGTGGGGCTCACCTCCCCACAACTGGCCCAAGCTGCTCTAACACTTCCGCAACTAGTAGAAAATCTTTCACACAATGCAACTTTCTCAGAGAGGAAGGATGTGCTTGTAGTTAAAGCATTGGACTAGAACGCAGGAGAGCTAGACTCAATTCCCTGCTCTGTCACATACTCCCTGTGAGACCCTGGCAAGACGTTTTTGATTTCCTTCTGCCTCAGCTCCCCATCTGTAATATTAACACCTCATTTCTGACATCCTTTGTCTTAGCAATTTATATTGCAAGCCCTTGGGGCAGGGACTGTCTCTTACTATGCATATTGGGGCAGGGTGAAGAGGTGGCTGGCTGATATTTTTAAAGATTTGTTCATGTGAAGAAATAGGCCAGATAAAACCAGGTCATGCGCGCGCGCGCGCGTGCACACCCACACACACACACACACCAATCAATCTATTTAGCAGCAAAGTTGCCTTTCTTAGTTCATTCCTGCAAACAAGCCCCTGATTCAGTTCATTTATAAATCGTGAAGACTTCCATTCATCTTCTTCCCCAATATATAAATATACAGCACACACCTGCTGCTAGTATTAGAGAGAAAGCACTGCACTAGGTGCTAAGAACATTCCAACTCTGACTCTTAGCCCACACGCCTCTACAGCCTTGTGTAAGTCATAACTTTTTTGTACCCCAGTTTCCTTATCTATAACAACAAAGATATTTCACAAGTGGGGCTCTTTCAGGCCTACAGCAGCTGTCCTTCCCTTTCCTTACAGGTACAAACTCCATCCCCAATATAAACTCCTTCTCATCTAGGATACGCAAACAGTCCAAAACAAACAATCCTTCCAGCTCTGAGTTCTGATTCACCACTTACTTCTCCTGTAGCTTCCCTCTCTGCTTCCGTCTAGGTATGTAAGGCAGGCAGACCCATTTGGCTGATGAGCTCAGCTGCCTCAACCTTACAGAACCTTAACCCTTCCCTACCTGGTCCCTGATTGCTGCAGATAAGCCCAGGAGAGGATGAAAATTTGAATCATCTGACTTCTATGAGGTGGCCCCAGCGTCTTCGTAAGACACAGATCGGTAGTGTACCCTGTCCATAACAATACCTCACAAAGGGATGATGGAGATTAATTAATGTTTGATAATTTTTTTTTTAAGATAAAGAGTACTTAAGTATGATAACAGCCTCTGCATGACCATCTCAACACAAATTGTTTGCTATCATCATTTAATTCTAGTTGTTTCTTTTTAAACCACTTTGCTCATACCAAACATATCTAGGTGCTGCTGATGCACACATCCACTTGGTGCAGCCCAATGTACCTGGCATCTCTCAATATCCCAGAATGAGGGTAGGGTGACCAGATATCTAGGTGTTTGTCTCGATATTTCGCGGCATTCCTTTTTTTTTTTTTGCTCCACCGGTGACCCTCCCCCCCATGTGTCCTGATATTTTCTTCTTCTCATCTGGTCACCCTAAATGAGGGTAATGAAGGGAATGATAATCCAAAGGGAATTTCCCCATGCATTTTAGAAGCAGGCTTTCTGTGCCTCTGCCCATGCCATCCAAGTTTATCCTCACAGGGGTCCTGAGGAAACTCAGGGATTTTAATCATTAAAGCTCCCTTACTTCCCATCTCGGTGCTGTATAGAGCAAATTCCATGCTCCAAGCAGGGAAACCCACAACCACTTCACCTAAAACAGCCCAAAAAGACATCCATGGGAAAGAGTGAAGCACCTCTGCAGCAATCCCCACCTCTACCGACATGGGGGATGGGAGAGTGGTGTAGGACGGAGGAAAGATTAGCTTTCTGGTTAAAGGAGTGGACGGAGAAGGAGAAAATCTGGATTCAATTCTCAGCTCTTCCACAGACTACCTGTGTGACCTTGCACAAGTCATTTGGTAGCTTAGTTCATCTTCTGCAAAATAGGGGTAACAATACTTCCCAAGCTCACAGGGGTGCTGTGAGATTTAAATAATGTCTGAGAGGCACTCAGCTACTGCTATGATGGGGCCATATATGTGTGGCCACCTGCACCCCTGTATTCACCCACTACTGTAATAACCGTTGTACAAAATATGCCTTGTGAGGTATCATTTGAAAACTAATAACTGGCTGGTCAACATAATCATGGTGAAATGTGTGTAGCAACATTATATGTGAAGTTATGAACATAAGTTGAAATCATGACCGAAGTGCATTCACCACTTGGAGAATGAGTAAACCTGCTTCTCAAAGTCAAAGGACAAGCTGACACCTTGCCAAAGCTGATGGGCAATCACCTAACAGATGGAAACAGATCTGCATCTTATCGAACAACAGCATGGAATCACTTTCAATACCTTGGGGGGGGGGGGGCAATGGACCTAATAGATCTGGACTGTCCAGGAGAGGGCTGGACAGTGCTGCACACACGTTTTTTGGGGGAAATCCCGGACTGGGAGTGTGTTTGGGTCATCTTGCAACTAGTAACCAAGGCTGCTGGGAGCCAGAGTGTGACTGGTGTTGCTGACAGGCTGCTGGTGTCAGAGTTGCTGGACCAGGGCCATGGCTATACACAGACACTCAGGGTGTGACCTGCATGCTGTTTGGGAGGAGCCCAGGTTGGGAGCTACAGCAGCAAAGCATTGTGAGGCATCCCAGGTTGCAGGGCAGGGATGACACTGCCCCTCACTGGTCTGGATTGCAGCCCATAATGCCATAGTATGTAAATAAAAAGAACTACCAAACTAAAAGAATGAGTGGTGTATGTAGGTTGCTAAGCACTGCCCCTTTCTTAGGGGTCAGCAAACACCCATGTGCCTCCGGGATGTACAATGTGAGTGAGAAGTGATTCACACCATTTAGCACACACCCCTTGTGAGCCTACAGAAATGCACACGATTATAAATGAAGCAATATAAAGAAAAACTAGATATAATGCCTCTCATACTCTGCTGAAATAGTGTCATATCACCATTTATTAACAACAATGGTGCCTCACAGTGTTTCCAGAGTGTAATAGGGACCAGTTTAACATCTCCATTATAAACCCTATTTCTGAGGGGCTCAAAACTAGTTCATTTTCACTGGCCTCCATATGTCACATTATGTGCAAATGCCATTCATTAAAACAGATTTGACCCTCCCTCATGGCGAGAAATCAATCGCCCAATAAAAATAAACAGCAAATTCTCAAGCTCCTTTTCCCTCCTCCTCCTTTTCCCCCCCTCTTCCCAACATAAGGTCATGGGGAACAGGAAGGAACCTGACACTCTTGAGAGGATGGCACAGCACAAATATTAAAACCTGCCACACAATCAGTCCTTAATGCACATGTGTGGATTTATTTATAAAGCCAAGACGTGAAGCAGAAGAAAGAGTTTCTAAAAGTGGCTCCTGGGTAATAAATAATAAACAACATACAGGGCTACCTTTCAGACAGGAGTCTTTCCACACTGAAGTGGCCAGACATGGGCTAGTGCCAGTGCACCCCAATATGAAGGATGGTTCCACCTCAACCT